TGGATGTCTTGAATGGTAGAGTAGTCGCCACTCGGAGGATGGTGCTAACAGCATGGTATTTCTTAGTCCTCTGTTGTTGTCTCTCGGTCTTTATCGCTGTCTCTTTCTCTTGTCTCGCCCTCTCTCTTTCTCTCTTTTTCTCCATCTCTGCCTCGTAAATCTGTCAGTCATTCTCTCGCTTTTCGTCATGGTCAAATTAGCTCGATGATCGTAAATTCTCAAAAAAGAAAAAAAAAAAAGAGTTGAAGCCACCTCGTAAACCCTTTTGTGTTTGTTTGTTCTGAGGAGTCGCCGGTCCTCCGAATCATCACCGATTAGTCACCGAAAAATGCCACGCAATAACCCAAGTTTATGACCTCCTGTTCGATGCCTTTTACTCCCTGTCATGCCACTGTGTCTCTCACCTTCCTTGGCCTCAGATCCTTAAGAAAACCGAACCTAACGCTCAGTAACAAGCTCTTTTTCTCGTCTACTGGCAGAAGCTGTAGCGAAGGTGCTCTGGCAGAGGATTTACCCCTTTTTTTTCTCCCAATCTTGCTCGGCAGTGTCGTGTGAGATATGGCGTGAGTCTTTCTTTTGAATATTTCACTTTTTATTTCGTATTCCTTAGTGTGAGTTCAGCAGTGAGTGTTTTATTCCGTGCTCCTTATATAATAGGACTATGTATAGTTTTCCTAAGAGCTCCTGGGGAGGAAACGAAGGAGGAAAATGGAAGAAACTCAAGTAAAGGCTTCCTGAAGGATTTATATATCTTTCACACTCTTCAGGGAAAAGCGGAAGTGAAGAGGAAGAAAAAGAGAACTGAAGTGGACTGGAGAAAACGAAACCAAAGACTCGCATCGCGGTTCCGGGAGCTCCTGGGCCTCGCCTGGCCGCCTGAGGGAGTCGGCCGTTACGTGCCCACGAGCAGCACGGCCGAGGAGCCCGCCGTCGAGGCCGCGGAGGCGCTGGCGTCGCCGGCGGTGGCGTTGGCGGCGGTGGCGTTGAGGGCCTTGTCCTCCGGCCGCAGGAAGCGCAGGTCCCTCCGCCACGGCCGGCAGAAGCGCATCTCGTTGTGTCGGACGCGCAGGATCCGCGCCAGGTTCCGGGGCGTGTACCGGCGCACGTAGCTGCCGTTCCGAAGCACGAGCCGCACCTCGCGGCCCCGCGTGACCTCCGTTGACCCCATGACCAGGTAGGAGCGCCCGTGGCGCATCTTGGGGCACAGGCAGTTGTTGTCCACCCACAGGAACTCCTTGTGGAGGAGCGGCACCGTGTTCTTGTAGGACTGGTGCACGAGGACCTCGTAGCGGCGCTCCCCGCCCACCGGCTCGCTGTTGATCACCTCGACGCGCGACACTGGAAGAAAGAAGGGAAAACGGGTGAGACAAACAGACACAAAGGACGAGAGATTTCTTGCAAAGCATTCGCTTGCGACTCTTTCTTTTCTTTTCCTGCTGCTCTTCACTTTGACGCAAAATATCAAACATGAGGCGAGGCTCACCGAAGTCGCTGATTCCTGTCACTGCAATCCACAAGCAGCCATCAGCAAAAGAGAAAAGGGCCGAACGCCACCCGAGGCGAGCTCACCGAAGTCGCTGTGCAGAACATCTGCTTGGCGCGCCGCGGCCTCTCGCAGGGGCCGCAGGAGGCAGGGACTTCGGGCTGCTTCTTCTTCTTCTTCCGTCTGCCTTTCCCTCCCTTGCCCTCCTCCCCCTTGGGCTTCCCTTTCGAGGGCTTCTTGTACGGCTTGACGGGCTTCTTGGGTCTGTACGTGTCGTTGTCCTCGCGGTTCGGGGGGAGGAGGTCGTCTGTGGGCGAAGGGCGGGCGACGTCGGAACGGAGGTCGAGGTCGAGGACGAGGCCGGCGGAGAGGCGTCCTCAAGGGCGGCTTTCGGATCCTCGTCACGTTCACACTCGTCAGCACTGCCGGGCGTGGCGTCGGAGTCGTCGTGTCGTGGTGGTTGGGAAGTCGTCGGGGGTGGCGGAGCGGGTGGGGTCGTGGCCGGGTGGAGGAGGTCGCGACGGACGGGAGGGGACGACGGCGGGAGGGGCCTCGCCGACGCGAGTTGGGGGTCCAGTACTCGTAGTAGATGCCCGGGTTGTGTTCGCGGAGCAGCACCTGGCGGGAGGGGCGGGTCAGGGAGATGGTCAAGGTCACTCTCTCTCACTAGCTCACTCCTTCACTCATTCTCTCTCTCTTTCTTTCTCCTCTCTCTCTCTCTCTTTCTCCTCTTCTTTCTTCTCTCTCTCTCTCTTTCTCTCTCTCTCTCTTTCTCTCTCTCTCTTCTCTTTCTCTCCTCTCTCTCTCTCTTTCTCTCTTCTCTCGCTCTCACTACTTCACAATACTTACCGTGCGCAGAATCACATGTTTGAGTTTCTTAAGATCCCCATAAAAGAAATCAAGCTTATTACCAAGAAAACCGTCAATTCTCCTTCATGTGACACCTATCAATCACCAAGAATCACGTTGAGCATGAGAAACTGAAATCCTCCTGAAATACCTTAATCAACATGAGTTACCGCAATCCTTATTATAATCCCACTGGGACTCTCCGGGTCTTATAAAGTCCCTAACTCCACTGAACTTAACTATGAGTAACTGAGTTTCCTTTCTTATAGTCCCTTATTCCGCTTAACTATGAGTAACTGAGTTTCCTTTCCTATAACGTCCCTAACTCAACTTCACTTAATTATGAGTAACTATTTCCCGTTGATGCATGACTGGAAGTTACCTCAACCCACGTAATATACAGCTTATCATTCTACAGTGCAACACTATAAGCTTTTGGTATAGCATCATCTATACCTAATTGAACAATGCCATTTAGTCCCTCGTTTAATAGCATTTGTCCTATTATAAACTACCACAGGCCTAACAAAGCCCCCCTCATTTCACAGAAACGTGAGGACTAACGAAAACCATACCCTGCCCTTCTGTAACACTCCCAAATCCCCCCCAGTTTCCCCCTACACCCCCCCCACTGAACCCCTGACGGTACCCTCACGTACAACCCTTCCCACAACCCTCTCCGACCTCCCACGCCCCGTCCGTGCAGCCTACCATGAGCGTGAGGTCTTCGGAGGTGGGTCCCAGGGCGCTGAGACTCTCCGACTCGTCCTCGTTGCGGGCGTAGGTGAAGAGAGTGCCGCCCGCGTCGACCTCCCCAGGCCAGTCGATCAGCCAATCACCGTTCAGCAGGAATTTGCTCCCGGCCTTCAGAGCTGGCGGGGGGGGGAGAGGGGGAGGGGAGGTTAGTGGTGGTCGTACAGGTTGAAGGAAGGTGGATGTTTGTTTATACGTATATTCATTGAGCCATATTTTTATCTGTGTGCATGTCTGTTTGTTTGTTTGTCCGTCCATGTTGGATAATCTTATATATTTTCCCTTCATCTAAGTAATAATTTGTATGTTATCGTAGTGCGTTGAATTGTGTTTTGTTTATTTGTCGAGATAAAGAAGAGAAGAGAAAATGAGAGACGAGGAAAGACTGAAACAAATCAAAACAAACAAGAAAAGAGAGAGAGAGAGAGAGAGAGAGAGAGAGAGAGAGAGAGAGAGAGAGAGAGAGAGAGAGAGAGAGAGAGAGAGAGAGAGAGAGAGAGAGAGAGAGAGAGAGAGAGAGAGAGAGGAGAGAGAAGAGAGAGAGAGAGAGAGAGAGAGAGAGAGAGAGAGAGAGAGAGAGAGAGAGAGAGAGAGAGAGAGAGAGAGAGAGAGAGGAGAGACAGAGAGAGAGAGAGACAGACAGAGACAGACAGACAGACAGACAGATCGAACGCAAGAGAAGAAGGAATAAACAAAGAAAGAAAAGAAAGAGCTAACGCGACAGTCCCAGAGGCTAAAAGGAGTACACTGGCTTCAACACTCAACAAGTAACGACTCACACGGAGCCATAAACCACCCCTTGTTTCCCAGCACATTAACACACAACCTGGGAAGTTAACCCCAAAGGACATCAGCATCCATTCACCAGCGAGTTACAATCCAACGTTAATTGACATTTCCTGGTCGGGCGAGAGAAGTCATTACAACAGAGGAGCTCGTTAACAGATCGATATCAGGAGGCACATAAACTAGCGGGTTGACCGTGGACACGTAACAATTCTCGGGGACGCGACCGTTACGGGCCAAAGCGCTGGAATAGAATGGTGTGGGTTGACACTTTGTTGTTTTTTACGGGTTGGGCTGATCGGTATGGGCGATTGGGTGTTGATATCTTGCTTAAAATGCGTCTCATTGAAGATTTAACACTTCTTGGTACTGGACAAAGCTGGAGAACTTTTTTTTTTGCGTTGAGGTTAAACAAAGCGAGTTTCTGAAGTTTAATACTGTTTTGTCCTCAGGATTACGTTAACATTATCTTTTTTTAAAACATAAAACCGGTTTGCTGTGTTTTCGTACAGTCTTCCTCGAAACATTCCGGATTAAAGGTTTGAGAATATAACATAATAAAGCCAAAATTGATTTTTAAAAAACACGCCGAAATAGTCATTATGGTTTAGCTCTGTCTCGCCCCAAACACGGCGAATCAGTCAGCGCTCTTTATCACTTTTTTGCCCGCTGTAAGTGCCTTGAGGGCATGCAACTTGTGCGATACAAAGTGGACAATTATCTAAGGGAGATTATCACTTAGCCTTGCCTTATTTGCACTCTCCCCTTTATGGTTCGCTGCGGCCTGAGTGAGTGCGAGAGATAGCGAATTTATGCTGTTCTTTATGTGCAGTTTTTTTTTTCTTTTCTTTTGATTTTCCTCTTTTCTGTTCATGTTTTTTGCTTCGTTCATGTTTTTTTGGTTGCATGTGTGGTATCTTTTTTTATTATTATCTTTTCTGTTTTTGTTTGTTTTCTGTGTATGTGCGGTTTTTATTTTTTATTTGTTTTGTTTTTTGTTTTGTTTCACTTACCCAAGAAGTTTGGCGAAGTATCTCTCACCCTTACGTTGGTCGCGCCCTTCGGTATGTAAGACACTTCATAGTAACCATAATTTCCTGAAAATAAACAAATGAATAGATATACAACTTTAATATCTCACCATGAGTCAAAAACTCAAACTGGTTTTTACAATACTTGCAAAAAACTACGATGATATATTTTTGTTAATGCTCTATAATCTTGCACACGTCACAGCTGGACTTGCCCAATTTGTCAGCTGTTAAAGGCCTTGTTAGAAATAAGAGGTACAGCTTGGAAATTCGAATATACACGTGTCTAATATCCTATGAAGCTTCTTAAGACATAGGATGTGACATTTCCGTGAGACAAGAGCAAGGAAGAGAGATAATGCTTATTTGCAATTCTGACTTGTCATAACTCTCCTCATAAACGTAATTTGTGTAAAGTTCAAGGTTGGTGTCTTTTCTTTCCTCGAGTCAACGAGAGTAAAACAAACCTCATTTATTGTAATTACTGATTATAACTCTTATAATGATAGTCGTTAATGATACACACACTTCCTATATATAATGCTAAGGTATTATTAAACTCTGAAGGCACTCATCAACAACACTCGAGATAAATAGCGAAAATATCTGCCGTGTTGACGAAGTAGCATAAGAATACGCAAAGTCTTTTGAGAGGCTTCGTGTTTAAGCAAAGTTTATTTGGTGTACCTTGTCTTTCAGCAATACCCACTTTTATAATATTCATCATTAATACTTATCCACATAATGCCCAACAAACAGCATTCACCCTCACAACAGACAACAGTCAACAACATTCACCATCACACACTTCCTACCAACGACAATTTTTGCAACAACTTTCATTCATCAACACTTCATCACAAGACCCATCAACAGCCCTCATCAACAGCACTCATCAGCAGCACTCATCAACAGCACAGCACTCATCATCAACAGCATCATCACCCCCCCCCCCTCATCGAAGACACTAACTGGCTGATCTGTCGCCGGCGCGGGTGAGCGACGACGGCTGGTCGGCGGCAGGGAGGTCGGTGTGGAAGACGCCAACATGTCGCGTACACGTTTCGTTGTGTCCTCCGCAGATCCTACACATGTCCTCCCTCGCAGTCCCGCCCAACCGACCATCGCATGAGAGGCGCTGTGGGGGAGAGGATGGTGGTGATGGAGAGTGATGACAATGGTGGTGGTTATTGTGAATGGTGAAGGACAGTAGAAGGGGTGAGCCTTTGATTTTTTGCATAATGATATTTGGAATCTTGAAATTATACTACTCGTCTCCTCTACCACTTTTAATAGTACGCCTTAAAACAACAGTAATAAATGCAATGACGATAAAACTACTAATAAAATAACAATAATGATAATAGAAATCAACAAAAACAAACTCAGAGTAACAGCTGAGAGCACGAAATCCTTCTCAAACGGAACAAGAACAAGGACGAGGCCCCACCAGGCAGCGGCCGTTGACGCAGAGGCCGTCCTGCGCCTGGTCCGTGCGGCAGTGGGTTCCGTCCGTGACCTTCCCGAAGGTGTAGACGATGCCCTCGCCCTCGCCCTCGCACACCAGCGCGCACGGGTTGATGCCTCCTGATGGGGGAGAGAAAGGAGGTGAGAGGAGGAAGGAGCAGCTGGGCAAAGGAGCAGGAATGAAGGAGGTAACACCAATAAGTTACGAGATGAGTAAGCAGATGAGCGAATAAAAGTTTCATTGAGTAAATATGAGTTACGTATATAAGAAAATTTAAAAGACCTTTACACATAACAAGAGTACGTACTAAGAAATTAGAAGCAAAATACACATATATAGTCGTACACAGTAATAAGTAATCACATCATCCACCTTGCAAAAACGCAAGCAAATAAAGAAAAAAAGAACAAGAAAATTAGAAGCAAAATACACGTATATGCAAATGAATAAGTAATCACATCATCCACCTTGCAAAAACGCAAGCAAATAAAAACAAAACAAAACAAGAAAAGTGGCCAGGAAAGATTCCTCCATGCATTATGAATTGCCAGACACTCCCTGACACTCATTTACAACTCTCGAGCAGCAATACCTTCCTTGAGAGCAGTCACTTGAAAATCCGAAGAGCAACAGAATAGATGATGAAGATTGCGTATGATAGTTATATTTACAATTATAAAATGCTAGTTACCAAGATACAAAATAAGCTGTATTATCACCATCATTCTCTATTTGTTTTACCATCATCACTAACATCTTATAACCATTACCACCTCAAACAGCCTGGTTATCCTCTTCAGCACTAAAACTTAGCCCTTATAAAACTTAGCCCTTCTACCAACGCTCTAAACAACAACAACAGCAGCAACAACTCCACCAACGCCTCAAACATCATCACAACAACAACAACAACAACAACAACATCAACATCATTAACATCATCAACAACTTCAACAACAACAACTCCACCAACGCTTCCAAACAACACCAAACTCCACCAACGCCTCCAACACCCAGGCCTCACCTTGCGTATAAGGAACCCAGTTGTTGACGACCCTGCCGAACACGCGCCTGTTGTTGTAGTGGCGACACTGGGCGGCTCGGAAGGACACGGCAGACACCATCCCCGGAGGACAAGCCTTCACGCCGCACACGCTGTACTCCACGCTGTCGCCGGCGCACTGGTCGTGGGTCGTCCTCACGCCGGACCGGGCATCACTCTGGGGCGGGGGGGGGGGTTAGTGGTGGTGATGATACTGTACATGTATATATATATATATATATATATATATATATATATATTATATATATATATATATATGTATGTATATATGTATGTATGTAGTATATATATATGTATATGTAGTGTGGTGTTGTATTATATATATATATAGTGTATGGTGGTGAAATATAAGTATATATAGATATATATATATATACATGGTGGTGGTGGTGATGATGGTGGGATATATATATATATACATGGTGGTGATGATGGTGGTGGTGGTGATATATATATATATATATATATATAGTATAAATGTGTGATGGTGGTGGCGGTGATATATATAATATATATATATGGTGGCTATGGTGGTTGTGATGATGCTGGGGGATAATATATATTATATATATATATATATATATATATATGTATATATGTGTGTGATGGTGGTGGTCATGGTAGGACGATAATGATATTGATAAGTAGTAAAATATAATGATATTACTACTATGCTACTACTAATTTCTGATTTTTATAGATACCAATAACAACAATAATAAATCAATTCACAAATTATGATAAGGATAAAATAACCCTAATACTAACAACAATAACAACTACAACAGTGATGATCAAGATTACATCAGAAACAACATTAACTAATGATAATAATAAATAATAATAATAATAACAATGATTATGATGATATGATGATAATGGTATTAATAATAATCGTTATTATTTTCAATATCATTATTACTATAGTAATTATCATTATTAGTTTTACAATAATTATTATTACATCATCTATATTTTACAGTTATCATCATCATAATATGTTAATTATTATATATTTATATATTATTATTATTTATTATTATTATTATTATTAATTATATTATATCATTTTACCATCATCATTCAATAACTTTAACATTATAAACATCATAAGTGTAACAATGTTGGAAGTTACCTCTCTCTCTCTCTCTCTCTCTTTCCCTCTCTCTCTCTCTCTCTCTCTCTCTCTCTCTCTCTCTCTCTCTCTCTCTCTCTCTCTCTCTCTCTCTCTCTCTCTCTCTCTCTCTCTCTCTCTTTCCATCTGTTTACATTCCGTTTAGTGTGTGTTTTCTTTTTATCTCTTATATCCTCACCCTTCTTGCGTTCCTTCCTTCGCCTGACCACAAATGACAGAGATTGATCATTTTGTCTCTATTATCTACGTGCACGCATCATCACAATCGGTTGAAACATTATCATACCTCTGGCATTACCGCTGGACACAATAATCTACATCATCTTACATCATCACCTCATACGTCAAGTCTATCGTCGCGCCTCTGGCAACCCCATCTCGATCATTGTTCGTATTATCAATTCTCCTGATTGACCGATCCGAACACCATCCCCAAGTATAGGGCCACTATCATTATTACGGTCATTGTCGCCTTATTCGCGTGTGTCGGGGTTGTATTGTGCGTTGCTCACTATTCACAAGATTAGCATTATCATACGTCAGGCATCCGTGTCTTATCGTACGCCCGATATCATCTTACCTCTGGCAACTTGCTTCTCCGTACACAAAAATAATCTTTAGACTTGCTTGAATATTATTAATAACAGATCTACGTCTTCCCAAGAACCGTTAATTCACTTACTTCCATATAAATAAATTATAAATTATGTATATATTGGAGGGATAAATAGAATAATCAGATATAGGATATGAGTAGGTGAGATGTAATGAATTTAGCGAGCAGGTTGTGAAAATAGATACTTGCAGCGTTGTAGCAAACTACTTTAGCAAGACAACATAATCAAAACATCATAAATTATGCATACAGGTACGATCTCTCTTCTCCCTTCCCTCTCCCTTCCCCTTCTCTATTTCTCTCTCAGTCTCTCTTTCTCGTTTTCTCTCTCTCTTCTTTCTCTCTTTTTCTTCTCTGTCTCTCTTTTCTCTGCTCCCCCCTCCTCTCTTAGTTCCTCTCTCTTTCTTTTTCTTTTTCTTTCCTCGTTCTCTCTCTCTCTCTCTCTCTCTCTCTCTCTCTCTCTCTCTCTCTATATATATATATATATATATATATATATATATGCTACATGTATATATACATATATATATTATATATACATATATATATATGTATATACATATATGTATACATATATATATATACATATATATATAGTATGTATATTATAAACATATATATATATATATATATATATATATATATTATATATAATATATATATATATATAATATATGTATATACACAACACACACAACACACACACACCACACACACACACACACACACACAGTATATTATATATATATATATATATATATATATATATTATATATATATATTCCCGCCTAGGTATACTAGTAGCGCTCCTTAGCCATACCGCCTGCTGTCACTTCGCTTCCACTAAAACTCCCGCTATGAACTCCACATATTAAGCTTGATTTACGAGGAGTAACACCCGAGCTGCCAGATGCGCGATAACCGTCCTCCGCGCGCGTGTGTCGGGGGTCGCGTTTTCGGCGGTCGAGGAAAATTCAACAGCGGGTTTGCATTTTCGTTTTTTTTTTATCGATTTTTTTTTCTTCGTTTGTGCGTTTCTGATAGTTTTTTTATGGGTTTAATAGATGGGGGGAAAGAAAACGAAGATGGTGTTCGTGTGGATTATGTTGGTTTCTTAAATGAGGGTGGTTTTATTTAGCAGATAATTAAAATGAACAGGGCTATCTGTCATTCTTTTTTGTAGGCGTGTTGGCGGGACCGTTGTTAATGGCTGTCTTTTTTCTTCTTCTTTTTTTTTTTTTTTTTTTTGTCTTTTAGGGCGGGATTGTTTGGTTAATCGAGGTCGTATTGTATCTCTGATAATAGTGAGGTAAATGAACCGTGCTGTCTGATTTCCACAGCCATTTATTAATCTTTTTTTTTTACGAAATCTGAATTTGCTTTATGTCAACACGCTGGAAATCAGTGTTGACGATCCATGTTTCTTCAAACTTTCTTTGATCTTTGTGTGAATTTGTTTGTTCTTTATACTGTCGCTTATGATTAATATAGATAAATGGATGGTTTCTTTTTGTTAATCCCTAAATCTAAGATACCGATAATGTAACAGAGAAGAAAGATAGATGAAACTGGAGTCAACATTAGCAACACTGCATTCGATCTATCGTTTAAAGAATCAAATTTTATATCGCAATAAATACTTTTTTATCATTTTTATATTTACTCATTATATCTTTATTTTATTTATCTTTACTCATTATATCTATTTTTTACTTATCTTTACTCATTATATATTTTTTTTACTTGTCTTTACTCATTATATCTTTTTTTTAACTTATCTTTACTCATTATACTATTTAGCGTCTCATTTACTTCGTTACTCACTAATCTCATCCCTGTCCTGTTTTGACCTCACCCATGTCTTCCTCATCACCTCATTCGCTATCCTCACCGCTAGTTCATTCACCACTTCACCCACCTCTCCTCTTCTCATCTTACTCACTTACTATCTTTACTCACCTCATTCATTATCCTCACCGCTAGTTCATTCACCACTTCACCCACCACTTAAAAATCCTCTTTGGCATCTCATTATCTTACTCACTTACTCACTGTATAGAAAGGTATGAATAAGAATGAATATATTTGAATATCTTCACAATACAAGAGATGTATTTGACCGGTTTCGAATATATCTCATCTATTTCTGACGGAGATATATTCGAAACCGGCCAAATACATCTCTAATTATCGTGAATTATTAATTATTGTAATTATTAATAGTAATTATTAAGTATCGTGAAGATATTCATTCTCATTCATACCTTTTCTACGTTTGTCAACATGAATACGGTTCATTACTCACTATCTTTACTCACCTTGGGTAAGTCGTGATGCAGGTTCTGGTTCTGGTACGCACTCCTCCCCCACATGACCTGGTGGGGCATGAACAAGACGAGAACAGGTCAGTATGAAATAGATTATGTAATGTACATAAACATGTATGTATGTATTACGGACGTATACATGGATGTGCTGTGTATGTATGTGGGGTTTTATGTATGAATGTGTATTTATGATGTATTTGTATGTATGTGTAATTATGTATGTAGTGGTATGTATGTGTGTGTATGTATGTATGTTTGTATCCATATTTCTGTGTATGTAACTAAGTAAGAATGTATGCATATATGTATGTATATATGTATGTATGTTATGTATGCATATATGTATGCATATTTTTGTGTATGTAACTAAGTAACTATGTATCTATACATGTATGTATGTATGTTTTTTTGTATGTATGTATGTATGTATGTTTTTTGTATATATGTATGTATGTATGTTTTTTGTATATATGTATGTATGCATGTATGTATGAAATGTATGTATGTATGTCTGTATGTATGTACATAGTTGATCTGGATGTTTATTGATATCGTTATATAATGCATGACTTATCTATAATAAATTTTATCAGGGATGTTTATTTATTTAAGTAAAGTTTAATGCAGTGCTGGCCTACACTGGGCGGATATATCAATGAAAAATTATTTGAATATGCATGAAGCCACTTCACACTATTGGAATTAAAACCTCTCTCTCTCTCTCTCTCTCTCTCTCTCTCTTTTCTTTTTCTTTCTTTCTCATCTCTCTCTCTCTCTCTCTCTCTCTCTCTCTCTCTCTCTCTCTCTCTCTCTCTCCCTCTCTTCTTTTTCTTTTCCCTTTCTTTTCTCTCTTTTCTTTCTTTCTTTTCTTTCTCTTCTCTCATCACTCTCTCTCTCTCTCTCTCTCATCTCAGCTCTTCCGTCTCTCTCATATCCTCTCATCTCTCTCTCAGTCCTCTCTTTGTCTTTTTTTTCTGTCTTTCTTACCC